AGAATAGGAGAAAAATTATCTTGGTTGTGTATCGTATTTTTGTCAATACGTCGTTATTAACAATATTAATTTTTAAAATCTTGCAAAATTTGCGTTTATAACATCATGTCTGTTAGCCATCTTTTTGTTTATGGGTTATTTTGTGTTCTATAAACATGTGTCTACAAACCTTTCTAATTACAGACAGAACTTTCTTTAAGTTTATAGTGATTGAGTCACGATTTTCGCATATTCTGCCTACACCATTAGCAGGAATGTCGCGGCGCATTATACTAATAGTGTACCATCTATCATCACACACTTTCCTTATTATTTGTAATCTTTTTCCCGCCAATTCGAGAAAAAATTTAAAAAAAATGTCTTTCATTAAAGGTGCTACACACCGAAATTTAGCTAGATCCGTTGAACCAAACTCAAGATATTCTAATAAACATCTATCGTTACGTAGTTGCGTCGATTTAAATTTTTAAAAAAAAAAAACAGATTAATAGTTAATAATTCGATTAAAAATTAACTAATCGAGGTATTGAAAAACTTCGGGTTAACGGTAGATAAAGTACTCGTGTATCAAATAAACCACTTCGAGTTTTTACTTTCGTTGTAGTTTTTCAGATATATGGTGATTTTTACAGAATTAGGCACATTTAAAAAAAAATCTATCGAGAAAAGATTGTCCAATCGTGATTCTGTTCCACGAGACTAGTCGAAGGACTGAAGTTACACATACTAAAATTTCACGAATCAAATGTTTGTAGAAATCCTGTTTTATTCTTCCTAAGTTGCGCAATTCAGAATAACCGCGCCTTAGAATTTAGTTTTGTTTTTAATAGTTATTTACATTAGAAATTAACGTTTAAAGCAACTTTAATCATGAAAAAGGAAACAAATTTCTTATCTATTCATTTCATGGACAATCGTGTTACACGTAACAGTGCAGTGTCGTGTTCAATATTTTATAGCTACATAAATATTACGTAAGGCTGATCGAACCATTTTTAAAACAACAAAAAAAAACAAGATTATTGCTTTCAACCGGCTTACACTACCTCTTAGATATACTTTTTTAAAGAAAATACATAAGTATTAGGCTATCAGTAAATTACAGACAAATTTACTTAAAGACTGGGTTAAGTAAATTTAATGGGAACTAAGCAAACATACTGAGTACAAAGATTCAAAACGTATTTAATCTTTAAGATAAAATTGTCTTTTATAATTTTCACATAAACCTAGGCTTTAGATTAAGACCGTGTTAGTCCTAAAATAACCGTCTACAGTTTAAACTTTGAATATTACTTTCCCTTTTACGTATATAAAAATGAAATTATTAGCTGTCCGTTACGCTTCTTCACCTCGTGTCCGTTATTACAGCCTGTACAAAAACCGTAATGGATCGAACACGTAGCAATGACACGAGTCGATCGCAAATCTATGCGGCCGCACGATTTGTGCAAATAATATTATGTTAACACGCAGCTAAAGGACGTGGATGGAATTTTTAACATAATTCGATATCGAAACGGTTCCTTACATTTAGTAATTATTTAAAGATATAGTAAAGCTTTATATTATCCCTGTATTAAATCCTCTACAAACAAAACTTTATTTTTTACTAGCTAGCCCGTGAATTCGTCCACACAATATTAAGATGTAGAATATGCCCGTCTATGTCAGCTACCCTTCAGTTAAAGTCCGGTCGAAATTTGCCAGGCCATTTCGGAGTTTACCCGGAACAAACGCGGCTTGCGGACATACAGACATTTTTTTAATCAGCAACCCAAATATATTATCTTCCCGAACTTTGAAATGTTTCTTTTGATATTACAAACACTCCAATTTTATTACATGTAGAGAAGATAGACTATATGTTACGTTATAAATGCACTTATGTATGTACACAATTACGTTTATATTCTATACCGTAACTGCATATCTGATGTGAAATTTAAATACCTATACTGATAACTTTCTATTTATTTTGTATTCTTAACACTTCAATCAAACAGTTAAGTAAGCAACGAGAATAAACGATGATTTAATACTTCTAAGTTGCAACTTATTATAACAGAAGTAATCAATTCTTACTTCTGTATTTAATTACTTTCTTTTACTACAATCTTCTTACTATCTTACTAATATCATAAATGCGAAAGTTTAGGTGGATGGATGGATGTTTGTTAGAGTTTGTAGCCTAAACAGTTGAACAGATTTCGATGAAATTTGACATAGATGTAGAGGATAATCTGGAAGAACACATAGGCTACTCACTGTTGATTTTATTTTAATTCCACGCGGACGGAGTTGCGGGCGAAAGCTAGTCTTTAATAATTTAGTAAGCTTTAAGATAAAGGTTTTAAAATAACTATAAAATTCTACATCAATTCGCATTAAACCACTTTTAAGTAACCAACATTGTGGTTGTTATGGCAGGTTCCCCAGCTACATTTAACCATAAATAAGTTTTACTCTATTGATGCTTGGATCTACCCAACACTAATAAAACACTAGGTAATGATAATAAATGGGAACTTCAGAAACCCAGCATTAGTTGAGCAACCTGACAGTTTAACATAACCGTCTAACGGAACTCGGTATCGGCGCCACGAATCAATTAATACTATGATATTTTTGCATTTTAAATGAAATAATTAAATACCACTTTCCCCAGTTGGTGGTGGAAAAGCGCGAAAGTTAGTTGTCGTCCGGGAGCCGTGGCGAGCGGTTGCGTAACACCGTACAAATAGATTTAGCTAGGCCGATAACTGTTTAACCGGGAGTCTAAATATACCCGCATGCCGATCGATGTAGAACGGATGAAAATAGCCACTGCATTCGGTTGCACTACAGTCTGTTTGGATATGATTCATCTCATTCGTCGCGGCCGGATTTATTACAACTTCCGTTGGTAATATTTGTTTTTATAATTGCAATTTAGTTATGTATACTTTAAGAGAAAGTGGTCACACCTTGACATTGGTAACAAGTTTAACTTTCAGATAAAGACTTTATCGATTTCTAAGTTATTTAATTTACTGTAACACAAGAATCATGTCTTATTATCTTTGTAATTTAGGTTAAGTTTTTAACGGAAAAAATAAACTATGATTCGAACTTTTAACACAAGAGCAGTAGCTGCACAGATTATCTTCGCGGTTAGTGAAAGTATGTAGAGGTTTACCTTCGTTTTTCGACAGCTTTCTCGATGTGTGAACACAGGAGATGCGGCTTGTATAGCCACGCATAATACGAAGGCAATAACATCTCTTGCATAATGCGGTCCACATAATGTTCGCGCACTTTTGTACTTGTTTTGAATGACAATTTTCATGTTATTTTGAACACTTTTGTAACACTAAAATAACACGTTTATTTTGTAATGTATTTTGTATACTGATTATATTATCTACTGGCTTTCGCCCGCGACTCCGGCCACGTGGTATTTAAAAAAAAACGAAATCAAGCTTATGTGTTCTTACAGGCTATGTTATATATCTATGCCAAATTTCATCAAGATACGCAGCCATTTAGGCTACAAACTCTAACAAACATCCATCTTAACTTTCGCATTTATAATATTAGTAAGTATTAGTATGATTATCAGCGTAGTATACCAAAGTTAATTGTTACTAAAAATTGTTCTGTATGACACCAACGTCATAATTCATAAATTAATATTTTTTGTCGTCCGGAACACCGGTATTTCCGGTGTACGGATGTGAACACGGATACACGTGCGTAAGGGGTGTTAGCATTTGTGGTTTTTAGAATACCATTTTTAATCTGTTAAATTTACGATATTGAAAGTAAATGCATAACTGTTTTATGTTTTTTACTATCTATTGCATTACAAAAAACAATACAGAGTCTTTGACTTCTGTTTACTTATCCAAGACATTGCTTTTCATATGAAACAAGAAACAATATAAAATAAATATCGAATATAGAGGAAGTAACAGCTTAATGACATATAAAATTACTAGAATTAAGTGTCTAGACATTAAGATTTAAAAATAAGTGAAATCTAGTTGTGTAATAATAGCTAAAATGAACTTGCACTACTGTTTATTTGCACTGTGTTCCAGTTAAGCAATAGAGGACAATTGCTATTACTTCGGTATACTTGTTTAAGTTCAGCTTATGTAATTCTCGAAACAGTTCGTCGGATTAAAATCGATTTAACGCGGATTTATTTATCAGTAGGTACATAAAACAATTTAAACACCGTTTACACTGTCCGAAGGACATATTCTTCAATACTTAATTATATCGCTTTAAACTTGGAATCTATACATACTTCTTTGTTGTCTAAGTTGTCAGCAATTACAGCTGGTTTTTGAATAACACTTTTTTAATTAAAAGCCCTACACTTACGTCACGCTTTAGGCTATATATTTCACGCCACTAAACTTAGGGGGTAAATATTTTGGTTAAAAACCCTATTGTGGAAAAGAGACCATAAGTTGCTGCCAACATTAAGGAAGCAAGGTGCCATAGTTTGTTATCATGTCTTGTCATTTTGACAGTTGTAATTGATAAATTGACACAAGTAAACAATATAATAGCTTTTTCATACTTTTATGCGGATGAAGTCGCAAGGGAACAGTTAGTTATTGATAACTGTGTAACTAATCAAATATAGTTGTTTGATTAGGCTTTTGGTAGACTAATGGTTAGAGGAGCGGATTTCTCATCACGTGGTCGAGGGTTCTGAACCCATTCGACTATTGTCGTAAACCACATCCTAGCACAAGCTTAGAGCTTAGTTACAATGCTAAAAGAAATAGTAAACTAGCTTTCGCCTGCGACATCGTTCGCGTGGAATAAAAAGCAAGGAAATAGCCTGTGTGTTCTTCAAACTATGATTTACATTTGTGCCAAAATTTATAGAGATACGTTAGCAGTTAAGGCTACAAACTCTAACAAACATCCATCTAAACTTTCGCATTTATAATATTAGTAAGAATAACAAAAATTTTAATAAAAATTGTGTTTGATTGCAGACGACAGACAGCGCGGATTTCCTGGCGGTTCGTCCTCATACAGCGTCGGTCCTGCCGGGCAAGCCCGCGGGCAACCCGCTGCAGTTCATCAAAGTAGGGCCCGCGGACCTCGGCAGCAGAGCGCGGGAACAACTGCGGCGAGCGCAGGCCGCCAAGCGAGTTGAGCCCGCCGCGTTAGAGCGACAGGAGGACTGGCAGTCGGTGAGTATAACTTAACCACTGACCTCTATAAATAGATAGGCAATGAAATGGTATTTTGTGAATAATTGTTTCCAGTTGTTGAGGAATTGAAGCAAAATAAATAGAATTAACTGACAGAAAGAAATGAATAGAAATGCGGTCATTTTCAATTTCCAAGTCCTATCTATTTATATAGATCAGTGTA